GGGTGGTTTCAGTGCAGCGTGACCGGCCCTGGGCCTGGGGAGGCCGCGGGCAGACCCGCCGAGATGGGCTCTCGGGCCCCATTCTGTGCTGGCGCGGCGAGCAGGCGAGCTGTCATTCCACTTCCGAGTGTTTCGGTTTAGTTCAATAAACCGTAAGACTCGGTCACACGTTTTCATTCAGTCGCTGTTTGCTTTCATAGCTGTGTTTTTCTATCAAAGTTTTGGGTGACAGCCAGTCAGGAGATGTTTGTGGTTGGCATATGGAGTTTTCTTGCAGATTCATAGGTAGGTCATTTATATTTCATAGAATCATTAAGGCTGGAAAAGACTTCTGAGGTCACCAAATCCAACCACTAACCCAGCGCTACCATGACCACTAAACCATGTCGCAGAGTGTCACATCCACGTGTATTTTGAACCCCTGCAGGGATGGTGACTCCACCATGTCTGTGGGCAGCCTGGGCCAACACTCCTGTCCAATTTTGGTATGTCTTTGGAGGACTGTCTTGAGAGACAGAGTTGAACAGAGTTCTCTTGATAGAGTTCTCAGACTTCAGTTTACAGGCCCATGAGTCCTGAATCACTCAGCTTTAATACTGAAAAATACTCTTTAAATACTCCTTGAGCATTGGTCCTTCCTCTCTGGTAATCTGCACGCCTCTCTGCAGGGCTCAGTTGGGTTGGTGGTCTCTGGCTTCACCTCTTTCACTATGAGATGGGGTCTTCAGGTTTTGTGCAGAGCAGGTTCACACTGCTTTGCCTCTGACAGCAGAGAACAAGCCAAAGTACACTTCTATTGCCTGCTCCTTTGTCAGCCTTTAATGCTCCTTCTGCATTCTGTAATTCTTTTGCCTTTTTTTATGTTGCTCCATGTCTTTGGAACAACATCTTTCCTCTTGTGCATGCAGTGGTGTTGCTTAAGGAAGTTGTGTGTTTCAGTCTCTCCATTGCTGACTGACAGTTGCAGTTTCTGACCCACACTGCAGGGTCTGCTTGTGTAAAAATGGAATTTTGGTGAAGCTGGTGAGTGTTTCCAGCCTGGTCCCTGCTCTGCTTTTCCCCTTTTGCATGATCATCATCCGTGGTGTAACCTAAACCTTGCCTTTGAGACGCCAGCAGGCTGCCTGTCAGCTGGGCCCATTTCTTCTTCAGTGAGATTGCTTGTATGATATGTCAGATGGCTTTGTGGTTAATAATTAATCAAATCTGCCTTTTCACTTTGGAAGCAGAGACATCATGAATCATTAACATTGGAAAAAAAACTCTTCAGATCATCAAGTCCAACCCAGGACCTCACGTAACTCTGCGTATTTCTTTCTCTTCTTTAGATGATGAATGTCACACAGACTCAAAGCTCCAGCATGAACCAGAGAGGTCAAACTCTCTTCCCCTCCCTTCCGTTTCGAAGCGAATCGTGCTTGGTGATGCTGTCTGCAACGTGGGAGGCCCTGCTGACCACCCTGACCTCAGGGGGGAGAAGGACTTGTTCAGCAAAGCCCCAGAGCTTGGCAGTGAGAGCACCCCTGAGCTCCGGCACCGCAGCAGGGGGGAGCTGCCGTCTGAAGCTGCTCCACGGCCACCTAGGCACGGGTTAGAGCAGTACCTGTCCAGATTTGATGAAGCTCTGAAGCTGAGGAACCAGCTGATGCACGAGAAGTCCAGCCAGGAGAATGGGGGTGCAGCAGAAGAGTTTGACTCTTTCAGGGTGTTCAGGCTGGTGGGATGTGCTCTGCTCGCCGTCGCCGTCAGGGCCTTTATCTGCAAGTACTTGGTGAGTCCAGGGAAACAAACTAGCTTTCCTGCAGACTTCCTGTGAAAGACCCTTTACCTAGGGCTGAAGGCTGGCAGTAGGGACTGAGTTGGGAGCTTTTTTACATGTCCAACAACTGTATCAATCCTAAAAAAATCTCTGAGGTGGATGTGTGTTCCCTAACACAGCTGAGAGTAGCACACCTCTGGTCTCTGGTGTTTGAGGAGCAGCAGTGCTGGAACAGTTGCTGAAGGTGAAGCCCCCTGCAAGTGTATTCCCATCTTTGTGAGCACAAGCCAACTGCTTTTCTAGTTGGGAGTCTACAAAATAATTTTAAGAGTAAGAACAATAATAGTTGCCCCGAGATAAGCAGATCCTGCTCATTTATCAGTCTTCTGAGAAAAGCAGTTCCTCAGTCCTCTGGGTGTCTGCTGGGGTGGCAGTGGTGCTGAGGTGCCAGGTACAGCTGTCACCTGATCATGGCTCAGTTTTACATGCTGCTGGACAATTCTGTGATTTCAGGGCTTTAGGCTCTAAGAAAATAAGGCAGAACCTTATTTTTGACATGTAACTTGTCTACTTAGATTTGCACTGTTCAAGAATACTGTTGTTGGCCACAAAGTGTTTTTTTACCTACCTAATTTTCTCTTAGGACTTGGGAAACATTAAATTTCTGTGTTTTCTTAGCTATTACTCCTGACCAAGTTAATTTTCCTGTATTCTTTTCTGTTCCTTCAGTCAATATTTGCACCATTTCTTACTCTACAACTTGCTTACATGGGACTATCCAAATACTTCCAAAGGTAAATTTATTTTTTTTTTTTCAGAATTAGATTAATTTGTAAAGTTTTACATTTAAACTTGTGCTTAGATTTATATTTTTTAGGACCAATGCATGTGAAGTCTTCTTCCCTTGTTTTAAACTGCACAACTGAGAGTTGTTAGATGCTGATAGATTATACTAGTTTTTCATCTTCCCAGATTTAACCCAGTTTTTTAAATAATTGCTGTGAAAATGTGCACTAGGAACTTGTTTAGCTGTAGCCTAATTAAAAGCATCTTCCAAGGAAAGCCAGGTAGCTCTTTCATGTCTTTATGAAAATCTGGCTTTTCTCCTAGACCACGCTCTTGCTTGGTTACTGCTTGTTCTGTCAACAGCTGTTTGCATGGGATACCTGGATGAGATGTGGGAGGGTGTTGGTTGAAAAATCAGATAGTCCTTGAGTTTTGAGGGCTCTGCCTTCCATTGCTGGTATCAGGTTGAATGGCAGCTTGAAGTGAGACGTTTATTTGTGTGACACTTGGCTGCTCATTAGCAACGTTTGCTGTATCACTTGCTTTATCTGTTTACACTAGCTAATTGTACTGCTTGATTGATGATTTTGGCAGGTCTGGAGGGCAGAGAGGGATTGAAGGATGCAGGGTTCATAGAGCTGAAAGAGAAAATTTGCATTTTAAAAGGAATAATAGATTGCCTGTAGGAAATCAGAATAAATCAGCAGTTTGTAATTAAGCATATCATTGAAAGCTAAACTTCACAGTAGTCATTCTAAGCTGATGTGTCACAAGACAAGACAGGAATTAGCCTTAGACTTGCCCTGGCTCATCTGCTAGATCTATTTGATCTGGTTTCTGCTGTCTGTAAAATCAGCTCATCAGTTTTTAGGATTTCCAGAGGTGGCTCCTTTCCACAACTTGCTGTTACCCTGCTTACATCCAGATGTGCTCAGTGAGCTTGTTCTTTTATTTTTCTCTCAGGAAACCTAGAAGGATTCTTGAAAGCTTAATTTAGATTGGATTAAATTAAGATATCCAGCAAATGCCATCAAATTACCAACATTTTCAGCTGCTGTCACCTTTTCCTGCCTGTCAGACTTTGCAGCCTCAAGATTCCTCATTTTAAAGACAGAAGAAACAGCTTTCAAAAGGGTTGGGGGCATTTCTGAGTTCAGAGGGTGAAATTGCTACATGGAGTCATACTAAAATAGAAACAAACATTTGGGTTTCAATTCAAAATAATTTTTCTCTGTTAAAGGAACAGTATATTTGCCAAGTAGTGTGATGAGATCAGTCCTGTGCCACCCATAGAGATGCCTGGCTTGGCTTCTTACACCCAGCTTGTCCAGGACTCTTCCCACTCCTGCAGAAGCTGCTGCACAGCCCCAGTTTACACCCTGCTCAGAGTGCTGGTGTGAAGGAGGTGTAATATCTGGGATGAATTTCATCTGCTGCTAACCAGGCTCTTGCTCAGCTCCCTTGGATCCCTTGTAGCTAGGATAAGTGCTGTGAATCCTGGAGCCTGTCTGGGGAGAATTGAGCCAAACTTGCTCCTCCTAGGGAGGAACTGGGAGTGTGCCTGGCTGCTGTCACACTGGCACAACACCCCTGAGGTTAAGCAGAACTGGATGATCACAGAAGATCTAACATAATGCTGTTGGTTTTTTCTTTCAGTGTGAGAAGAAGGTGAAAACAACGGTGTTAACTGCAGCTCTTTTGCTGTCTGGAATCCCTGCAGAAGTGATCAGTCGTTCCATGGACACCTACAGCAAGATGGGAGATGTTTTCACAGACCTTTGTGTCTATTTCTTTACTTTTATCTTCTGCCATGAACTTTTCCTGTTCTTTGGCTCTGAAGTACCCTGATGGCTGTAGAATTCAACACAGCACTTAACACTGAAGCTTTCTGGACTCTATTCCTTTAACATCTGACTGTGCAGACAGGTTTAAACCTCCATTAAAATCCTTACCTGGTCGAGTGCTTGAAAGGAGCCTGAAATTCAGTCACGTTGGGAAAGGAAGAGCAGGGTCCCAGACTGCCAGTTGTGTTGGTTCAGTTTTATTTCCATACTGTGTCTGCCTGTTAAAATGTGACCAGTAGGATGCACGTGTCAGTGGATGCTTTGTCTGGTTTAGGTGATGCCTGTCTCAGCCTCCTTCATAAACATTTGCAAAGCTGCCTTTGTTCTTTTCAGCAAGAACAAAGAGAATTCCTTTCAGCAGAACCATATGTATCTATATTTATCTCCAGGTATGACTATAGCTAACAAGAACTGCTCGTTTAGTGGTGTTCCCATTTTTTTTTCTTTAAGGAAGCTCTAAATCAAAGAAATCCCTGTGTCCTATTGTTCAAATTCAGAATGTTGAACCCAGTGGCTGCTTCTGGAGAACGTTGGTGAAACGTGTCACTTCGTTGTCCTCACCCTTGCCTTGCTGTATGCTATTTGTTGTGATTGTGATGACTCCTGTTGGATGATTTTAGTGCAAATCAGCTAACAACAAAGTCCTCTTGCTTACAAATGTCCTTCATCAAAAAGTAGGAAGAAACAGAATTGTTAATCTCAGCTGCTTGTGAGTTTCCAGCAGCCTGATCCTCATGTGTCTCTACACATCCTCTTATTTTTGTTATTTTAACATGATCTCACCAGAGGAAAGTTTTACCTGTTGACCACCAGCCTCCAGTATCAAATATCTGCTCTAGTATATGGAAAACTTAAAGGGGAACTATTATTTTTTTTCCCTGGCTCCTTGCAGGATTGCATAAGACAACTACTCATCTATTGATTTCTGCAGTTTGGTTATTATCAGACATTTTCATGTAAACAGGATCCTGTTTGCTGAAAATACCCCAATGCAGCAGGATTGGGT